CAAAGAGAGAACCCCCAAAAAAAAAAAAAAAAAAAAAAGTGAAAGTGCCCATTAAGTTGAAAAGCATTGCACAGACAAGAAGGAGGATTACATTCAACACACAAAGAAGGGACGTGGATGTCCAGGGTTGTCCCGCCAACTTCAGGGTTCCATGGGGTCTAGGATGCACAATTGTTCTTTAGGTACAAAGCACTGTAAGGGTGTAAATTGTTATAATAGTAGGGTTTTTTTAATTTCTTGCCTTAGGTACTGGGTGACACAAAGAGTCCAAAAGAATAAGACTCCTGTAACATACTGTGAGCAGAATAAGAAGTCGGATTATGGGACAGCATAATTACATAAAATTACATGTACAGACTGAATATTTATGGAGAGATGTTCATCAAAATGTCAAAAGCTGTTATTTTGAGTAGTAGGATCTCAGATTCTGATTCCCCTTGTAGGTGTGTGTGTGTGTGTGTGTGTGTGTGTGTGTGTGTGTGTGTGTTTGTGTTGTTTGAATCCTTTTTACTCTGAGTATGTGTCATTTTAACAAAAACAATGAAAAGGCAAAAGACAGCAGATACTGTTGGCCATGGTCACACACACCTATACTTCCAGGATCACAAGTTCGAGTCCAGCCTAGGCAACCTAGTGCTTGGCAAGACCCTGTCTCAAAACTTAAAAAATAAAAAAGGATTGAGGATGTAGCTCAATGCAAAGGCTCTGGGCTCAATCCTCAGGACTCAGAAGAATAAAGAAAAAGCATCCCGATACTCAGACTTCAGACTGTAAGTCATTGGAAGGACCAGCGGCTGTTCACTTAGGTCCTAGGTCCACAGAATGTTTTCTTATTTATGGAAAATGGAGTTTCTGGGAACAAGAAGCAGTTCATGGTCAAAAGTCAGCGGGAGGATAAAATCTCTTTGAAACAGCCTGGAAAGGGAGGAAAAGAGAAACGCCCTTTCATCTGTTTGTTCCATGTGCTGTAATAACACGGTGGTTTCAATCACAGGCTGTGGACGCATGAATTTCCTTGTTTGCTATGGTAACATGGGATTCCTGTTTTTCCACCTGTGTTCTTTCTGGGCCCTTAGATTCTGGCTGCAGGAGAGAACGGTGAGCTCACTCCCCATTCCCTCTGCCCAGGTAATCACCTTTTGTCGAGAAGGATTAGGGGGAGGGTGTGGCGAGCCTGTCTGTACCATGCTGCCACTGTTCTGCGATATTTCAGAACCAGATTCACGAGGAACAAACGTGCTTCTCAGCAGGACACAAAATGGAAGGGATGGCGGCAGCATGCCTTCCTGGGCCTGGTAATCCTCTCCCCAGAGAACTTTACACAGGCGAGTCTGAGCGAGATGGGAGGCCGCTGGTATGCTGGGAAGCTCGTCCCCACCCTGCTGAGGACCAGAGACGGGCTGGGGTGATGGGCAGGCTCTAAGTGTTGCTACAGACAATGACAACATCCCCGGGAAGACTCAGCATCCAAGCCCACGCTACTGTGGGGTGAGGACAGGCAGGGCTCCACTCTGGGCCTTGTAGTGTAAAGCGGCACAAATCTGGGGGTGCTAAAGGGTCAGCGCCTCTAGATTTGTATCATGCTAATCCCAGGAAGCATGATTTTCCAGGAGTACTGACAGCAGAGGAGGAGATCTTTGCCAAACCGAGAAGAGGTGCTAAGCTGAGCAGCCTTTAATTTTTTAAACTGAACTGAACTGGTCATTGGTTAAAAAAAAAAAAAATGTTCAGACTGCCATTTTCCTTACTTTATTAATTTTTAGTGTTCCTTCTGGTGTCATTCTCACTCTAATGCAGAAGCAGCTGTGGAGTGGGCCTCAGTTTCCCTGACTTCAGTGTGAGAAGGTTATTTCCAACTCCAGGATTTTCTGACTCAGAGTGACTGGGGTGATTATGTTGTCTCCTAGGAAACAAGGAAGAACACTAGATAGGACACCAGAAACCACTACTAGTCAAGAAGGCAGACTGCAGTAGCATCAACTGGAAACGTCTCTAAGTGTCTCTCTCTTCCCAGGGACCAGGCCAGGGCCTGTGTCTTCAGCTCCAGGCAATTTCTCCCCACCTGCCCCTCCCCCGTGCCCTCCAGCATGGTGCCCAGATACACAGACCTGCTTGGGACAGGGGTCCTCTGGAGTTTTGTGTGCCTGTTGCTTTACATCACGCTGGACAGCACAGGGACCCAGAATGAGTAGGACTCTGTTCCCGTTCTTGGCAAGGGTATGGCCCAATAGGAGAAGAACACAATTAACTAAAAAGAAACATGGATATTGAAAAGGACCCACAGGAGAGGCCTAGAAGAGTAAAGCACAAATGGGAATCTGAGAGAAGCAATCATCATGTTGAATTAGGTTGGATCCAAAAGGAGAATTTTGTCTCCATGGTTCAAGTTGGATTTACTACGGGGAAGTTCCCTACTTGACATTTTCTTTGTTCAACATGTCTGGGTCTGTCCTGCCTCACATATCCGAGCTCAGGGATGTCTTTATCTCTAGAGGAGTTTTGTCATCTCACCAGAATACAAATGAGATATAAACCTCATATTTTAAATTACCCAATAAACATGTTGTCAGTATCATATGTGAACCATTATGACTGAGCCCACCTGCTAACAAATATTCAAACTCTGTAACCAGTACTGTATGTCAGAGGTGCCTTACCTGTAATCCCGCCCCTCCCAAAGAGTATATCCTCCTTTGCCAAGTGCTGGCTGGGCCAGTCTTCCACGTAAGAATGCAGACTGGCTCGTTGGTGTTAAATAAAGCTTTACTTTCACTTTTTCTCTACAAAGTGCTTTCCATCCTCTCAGACTAGGGGTAGTGAGCTAACTCAACTGAATGGAGAGTTTTGCTGTTTCAGATGTAGAGAGGTGGAAGAGGAGAGAGAGAAGCATCTTTACACCCTTTCGTGATAGAACCAGGGCCAAATTATCTGTTCCCCAAGAGCATCCATTACTTTTATTCTGAACAGCAGTCTGGCCTTGGGAAGATTTGTTCCACCTTTATTGAGTAAATCTTCTGATACCTGGGATGGGTGAGAAAAGGTCTAACTGGAAAGACATGAGGAGGAGCTATGAATGGCTCTTTGTGTTTTTCTGGTTGCTTGTTGTAGTGCTGAGGCTGGAACCCAGGGCCTTATACATGCTAGGCAAATACTTTTACCACTGAACTGCACACCCAAGGACTGATTTTTGTAGTGTTTTTTTTGCCCACTGGGGATCAAATGGCCTCCAGGTATGGGACCTTCAAGAATTTTCAGTTATGGCCCAGCTTTGCCATTGAAATCGCATGGTTTGAGCTTGGGCAAAGTTTCTTTGTTTTAGGTTCCCATCAATAGGAATACCAGTAATAATTACAATAAGAACGTTACCCAGTTCACAGGTCTTATGACAAGCTCCCTTAAGGTAGATGAAAGTATCTGACAGAGGCGGCATGTTTGTTCTAGTGAGGCATAAAAGTCTCTGGGCCCCAGTGCCTGGCTTTCAGTCCTCCCCTGCTATGCACAGGTTGTGTGACCTTGGGCAAAGTTACCTAATCTCTCTGCATCTCAGTTTCTTCATCTATAAGAAAGGATCCCAGCACCATTGTCATAAGACAGTTGAGGATTAAAACGAGTTAACTGTTCAGCACTCAGAAGAGCACCTAGCAGCCAATACCATACTATATAATAGGGCTTGATTATGACTAAGATGATTACTTCTCTGATACAGAAGCAGAGTTCTGCTGTGTCTGTATGGAGAGGAGAAAACCACTTGCATTTGCCCTGAACTCTGGGTCCAGGGTTTTAAAAGAGCTATAAAAATGCCAAGTAACTGACGAATGTCTGGAGCCAGGGAGGCTCAACCCTTGACATCCTAGAAAACATTTCTCCACCTTCCCACATTTACCTCCTTGGCTTGTCTCTGGCCAAAGGTCCACACTTTGCATAACATATTGCCTGCAGTGTTGCCTCCTGAGGGTTCTGGCCTCTGGCCAGGTAGGACAGATTTGGGGAGCAGCTGCGGATGTTGTGGGGACATGAAAGGCCAGGCTGACCACAGATATGGGCATCTTTGGTCTTTGAGTGAAGGGGTTGAGTTGGATTCCAGGTCAAAAAGTTAAGATTACTGAACTTGGAGGTGGAGAAAGATTCTTCCTGCTCCTATATCCCTCAATATAGTATACCTTACTAGTCAACCTGAATGAGTCCAGAGATTTGAGGAGTTCCATGGGCTGTCATAGCCTCTCTTCTGATCCTCACAGCCCCCCTTTGTGGCAAATTGGCATCAGCATCTTCAGATAAGAAGACGGAGGTCAGCTGGGAGTGGTGGTGTGTGCTAGTAATCAATCCCAGTTGCTCAGGAGATTGAGGCAGAAGGATCATAAATTCTGGGTTGGGCAATTTAGCAATACCCTGTCTCAAAATTAAAAAAAAAAAAAAGGACTGAGGATATAGCTCAGCATTCCTTGGTTTAATCTCTAGTACAAAAACAAAAGCAAAACACTGAGGCAGAGAAGTTGGGTGGGGAATCTTGAGAGCCCGTGGCTTTCTCACAGAAGGACTCAGAATACTAACTGTTGTCTCACCTCTCCTAGTCTGGAGTTTTTTCTGCTACAGAAAAAACAACTCGTCACTGGCTACAGCAGGTCAAGCAAGTCTGTATCTGTAGATAAAGGAGGTACACTGCACACTTGGCCAGGCGGAGGAAAGAATAAGTTCCAAAGCTTCAGTACGGGTTGGGGATGGATCATAGTAGGGATACTGATGTCTCCCTTGGTCTACTGGTTTCCCCACAACAAAACAATTCTAACAATGTAGATATGGACAGGGGCCAGACCTTATAGACCGAGGAGAACCATCCTTATTTCTACTTCTTGCTTTACCCCAAGGATGAGAAAATGAGGAAGATCAGGCTTCCCAGCTTACATCCTGAATGCTCAGTCAGGACAAAGGCTGGTGGGTCAGGATACAGATAGTACCTGTGTACTCTTCCACAGGTAGAGAGAATTAGTTTCCGTTTAGGAATTCTGCGACTCAGCTTGAGAACTTCTGGGTACCCTCAGAGTAGGTAGAGTATCGTCAGTGGGTTGAGAAATTAATTTGTGGGCGTAACTGTGCCAAAGGTTAGGTGGTTACATACAGGCCACATGAATCTTTGTTATGTGCAGTTGAAAATTCAGCGAAATCTAAAAATGGAATCCAACCTTATTTTTATATGATTTTTAGCACTTCCTGCTCCTGCTTTAAATGTCTTGACCTCATTCTGGCTGCCTCATCTCTAAACGGGGAAATTTAGGCTGCGTCCTTTAAGGTTGTGCTGCCATCTACTGGAAAAATTGTTCGTAGCATGGATTTCGCTACGGATTAACTATGGAAAGGGACTTTAGAAGTAGTGTGCCTTGGGGATGTGGTTGTCCTGGGGACGTTTCAGCCTAGGCCTATGCAGCTCTATTTTTGCTGTTCTTACTCTTTCTTTGATTGTTCAGGCGGGACTTTTAAACTCTGCTCTGAGAAAGATCCATGCTTTTATATTTGCAGTCTGATAATTTTTTTATTACTAATGACCCAGTCAAATCTGAGGAGGAGCTGAAGGCACATTTTAGCAACCTCGTATTTAGAATGACTCATACTTTATATTATATAGCTGCAATTTATCAAATACCTGATCTGGTTCCAGTATTTTATTGTAAATGGCTTTTTGACAATGTCCTTATTTTTTGTTTGTATTTTTGAGATAAGGTTTCACTATGTAGTTCAGGCTGATCTTGAATTTACTATGTAGTCTAGACTGGCCTCGAACTCAAGGTAATCCTTCTGCCTCAGCCTCCGGAGTGCTGGGATTACAGGAGTGGGCTACCACACCTGGCTACAATATCCTTATTTTATATAAAGGTTCAAAGAGAACGTTTCTTTCTTGGAAAGAAAGGCCATGCATCACCTGAATACAAAGAATTGCTTTAAGTTCTGTCCCAGCAGAACACAGTAGAGTTAAATAATTTTTGCCTTTGAGTCGGGAGTGTGTTGGTTTGATTGCGTTTTTGTCATTTATGTTGTATGACCTCCGGCAAATTATTTTATTTTCATTTTTCTTTTTTGGGGGGGTGGTACCGGAGATGAACTCAGGACCTTGCACCTGCGAGGCAGGAGGGGTGCCATTGAACTAAATCCCTGGCGGCTATTTTTTTTTCTTTTGTAAACCCCAACTTCCTTGCGTGCAAAATCTGGTAACAGGTATAATTAAGATTGCGCGCGCGCGCACACACATACACACACACACACACACATTGCACACAAAGCTCTTAGCTGTATCGGGCCCTTTAAACGCTGCATAAATGCGCGCCTTCGGAATAAACTCGGAAACCGTGGTCGGCGGGTAAGTCTCTTTTTCTTGTCCATCCTAGTCTCCCCTCCTGATTCTTAACTGCCACCCCTCCAGAAGCTCAGAATTTCGACTGAGATTTCATTAAGCGTCTATAAATTCCCAACCTTACGACCCCAAGGCTGGCGGGCCAGTGCTTTTCCCTCTCGAGGTCGGGGACAGTTTCTGGCGCGTAGCATGCTGGGGATTGTAGTTCGAGCTCTCCCTTCCGCTCTTAGAGCGCGGTGGAGACGAGAGTTGAGAACTACAGCTCCCAGGGTCCCGCGCGTCCGCAAGGCGTGTGGCCGGCAGGGAGAGCGTTCAAGATGGCTGCGCCCATGCTCTGGGCTCGGGTTGCTAAAGCAGCCAGTAATGCGGCGTTTGGAACTAAGGTGGTTCTGGCGCATGCTGTGGGCAGAAGAAACCAACGCCAGGTACTCTACGGATCAGAAATCCAGCAAATCCGACGTATAAACCCGTTCTCGGTGACAAGCTGTTGGCGAGTCCAGCCCTAGCCCTTTCTCTTTTTTTCGCCGGGAATTGGCCTCGGAGAGAATCGTAGGCAAAAGTATGAGGACTCTCTCTTTTCCCAGGCCGATTCAGGACATCTGGAGCCATGAAGAGTGATCCCACGATCTCTGTGGGCCCGCTGAAGGGGCTCGGGGGGCCCCTGCCGAGCAGCGAGCCTGCGCGCACAGCCATGGCGGCGTCCCCGGTGGTTCACCTGCTGGAGGAGGCCGCCGACCTCCTGGTGGTGCACCTCGACTTCCCCGCGGCGCTGGAGACCTGCGAGCGGGCCTGCCAGAGCCTGGGCCGCGACACCCTAGCGGAGGAGCCCGCGGCCACGTACGTGCTGGACTCTTCCTTTCCTGGTGCTTTGGGGTGGGGGTAGGAAGGAACTCAAGGTCTCAGGACTTCTGTCACTGCCAGGTTGTATTAAGTGTTGAATAGCAAGCAGGTTCAGTTAAGTTGCAGAAGTCTTTGCCTAGGCTTTCCTCGCTCCAAGTTAACTCATTCCTGATCTTGGCTGATCATGGGGAATGGGGGTCAAGAGAGGAGTGGTGCCATGGTCCTGCTGTAGGGGTGGATTAAAGAATTAATCTCGAGGAAACCCTGGTCCTGCCGTGCTCTTTCTAATGCCACCAGCTGTCTGGCAGTTGTGGGTGTTATTTTTCTGTGGATCGTAAAGTTTGGTTAAGCCACACTAGGGAGATCATAGCTAGATTCTAGAGAAACCAGCAGGAGCCCTGGTTGTATTTTTAAGGGACTGGTGGAGCTTGTGGCAGCGAATGTGGAAGGTGTTACTTCTGAGTCCCCAGGTGCCTTATTTTGTAATTTTAAAAGGCCAATTGTGGAGTTTCTATACCTAAATAGCCAGAAAACTTGCTTCAAGCCCATTTCTTCACTAAGTGTATCTTACTTAGCACTCACCCTAAGTTCTCACCTTTGACTCCTGTTGTCTGTTTTGAGTGTTGTCATTTTCCACTCAGGATTACCCTTTCTAGGCCCGGAGATTTAGCTCAGTGGTTCTGCTGCCTGCCTTGCAAGCAGGAGGACTCAAATTCAATCCCTGGTCCAAAAAAAAAAAAGAAGAAGGATTACCCTTTCTGTTCATTCAAATTTGATTTCACCAGGGCCAAAGCCAGTTTGGTGCTAAGAGGTTTGGGGATTTGGGGGCAGCCTGTGAGATTAAAGGAGAAGAACACTGCAGGGTAAAAATGGAAGGGAACCACTTTGAAACTTGAGTTTGTCTTTCTGCTGACAGCTCCTTGGAGGTGAAATGCTCCTTGTGTGTTGTGGGGATTCAGGCCCTGGCAGAAATGGATCGGTGGCAGGAAGTCCTCTCCTGGGTCCTTCAGTATTACCAGGTCCCTGAAAAGCTGCCCCCCAAAGTCCTGGAGCTGTGGTAGGTCCTTGTTGCTGATACTGGATTGGTGCAGAACAAGAGGATTTTCCTGTCCTCTCCTGAATCAGGGGCTAGTCCTTCCCCTTTCCTTTTCCCTCCAAAGCCAGTTCTCCCCCTTTTTTCTGACCTTGGAACATAGCAATAAGAGATGATGAAAGAGTTTAGTAGTGGGACGGAGAAAGAGAGGGGACATGGAGTAATGAAGTAGTATGAATAAAGAAGTATACAGAGCTGAGAGTGCTGCTGCTCCTTAGGCATTCCTGATTCTTTTTCTTTTCTTTTTCCTTTTTTTTTGAGAGAGTCTTGCTATGTAGTCTACGTCGGGATCACAAGTGTGTGCTACCGCACCTGGCTAAGAGTTCCTAATTCTTAACAATGTCAGCATTCCACAGGGAAGGGCTGGAGGACATGGGAGGTATGAGAAATGAATCAACTATGAAGCCCTAACTCTTCTTTTTGGGGGGTTTGGATTATTTGGGCTTACAGCATACTTTTATACAGCAAAATGCAAGAGCCTGGAGCCATACTGGATGTGGTCAGTGCTTGGCTCCAAGACCCAGACAACCAAGGCCTTCCAGAATATGGCGTCTTGGCTGAACTTCACCTGCAGCGGGTGCTGCTGCCACTGGGCCACTTGGCAGAGGCAGAGGAGCTGGTGGTGAGCTCTGCAGCTTTTGGTGAGGAGCGGCGGCTAGAAGTGCTCTGGGCCATTCATACAGCGAGGCAACAGCAGAAACAGGAGCATTCAGGCTTCCAGGAGGTGCCGAAGATAAACCAGGAAGGTAGGGCACTAGGTTTCTATAGAGTGGAGCTGTGGGCTTTCCGTGTACCTCTGGCCCTTCCAGACTCCTGAGATTAGATTTCCTTTCTCTTATATGTCTCCATTTAATTATGGGTGATTCGTGGCAATAAACTGCTAGTTTGGAGACAGGATGCATGACATATACAGGAAAACCTGCCAATTTAGTGGTCAAAAAAGTGGAATCAAAATTGCAAACTATTGGCTGGGGATGTAGCTCAGTGGCACGATACCTGCCTGGCAAGCTCAAGGTCCTGAGTTTTATCCCCAGTACCAGAAAAAGCACAAACAAACAAACAAAAAAACAAAATTGCAAACTATTTACCTCTCATCCTAATTTTCTTTCAAAACAGAAACATGTATCACATCTCTGATACTACCATCTATCCTTAATGTGCTTTTAAGTACAAAATTACAAATAGTTTAGAGTACACTAAGAAATTGAGAATAATTTGTATTTAGAAAAAATCATTTTAAGAGTATATTATTAACTAACCATTCACAGTTATCTTGAAATTGTGTGGCAAATCCAAATAGATCCTAGTTTCTCTTCCTTGGACGGATTCAGTTTTTCTAAATTAATCTCCATCATAAATACTTGCCAGGCCAGGTGTGGTGGCGCATGCCTGTAGTCTCAGCCCTCAAGAGGCTGAGGTAGGAGGATCACTTGAGTTTTAAGTATACCCTGGGTTACATAGTGAGTTCAAGGCCAGACTGAGCTACACAGCAAGACCTTGTCTCAAAACAAAACAAAACAAAAAATACTTGCCTGGGTCAGGAGTTTATCCTCCTGAGTTTTTTGGTTTTCAGATTATATTTGATTTTCTGTTAACAACTTTAAGGAAAGGATATTAGCACTAGAGCCTGTATTTCAATTCCATGTGAAATTTTTGCAAATCCCATGTATTCTTGAGCCAGTTGAGCTGAGAGTAATAAAGCTAAATAAGAGGCCAGGTTGTGGGACTCAGATACACTGTGAAAATCCTGCTACTTCCTGCTGCTTGGCCATGTGGAGGAATGTTCAGCTCTCTGTCTCTGTCAGGGCCCTCTACACCATCACCCAGGCCAGGCCAGAGCCCAGGCAACTTCCACATCCCTCTACTCTAGGAGCTTCCCCTGACCCTTGAATCATTTTAGCTCCTTTTCCCTTGAGTCTGTATGAATATTTCCAGGGACAGAAAATTAGCTGTCTTCTGTCACAGCATATTCCCCCTGTACATTTAAGTTTTTTTGACTTACAGTCTGTACTCATTGATCCCTGTTTTTCTCTCGGTAGCATATAGCATAGGCCTGATCCTTTTGTGTGTGTGTTTTTTTTTTTTTTTTTTTTTTTTTTTTTTTTTTTTTTTCTTTTTATCCCAGATTGGCTTTGAACTCATGGTCCTCCTTCCTGAGTCTCTCAAGTGCTAGAATTACAGGAATGTAACCCAGTGGTTGGTTTTTTTTTTTTGGGTTTTTAAAATTACACATAAGCTTTGCTCTTTGAGGCTATAATCTTCTCCAAAGCATTCTTTGCTGGCAGGTTGTTGGCCTTGGGCATCAACCTTGGTGATCTGGGCCCTCTGTCCTGCATCTCCTGGAAAAGAGGAGGTAGGAAGAGGGATTTGATGGTAAATCCATGTTGTTCTGTCAGGACTGGTACCACTACCAGTTCTCGGGCCAATATTCATATTTATATTCACAATCCAAGGCTTTTGAATTCTTTCACTGTGTATATTAGATGTACTTCATTTCACTGCATTAATGTGACAGCCAGAACTATGGTCTGTGTTGCTCTGTGCATGTGTCAGGCCAGAATATAAAAAGTGCTGTAGAATCATAAGGCTGTTAACAGAGACATTAGATTTGCAGGCTGACCCAGCAGAGTAGGTGTTGTCTGCACACTACAGAGTAATGATAGGGCCTGTCCTCAGAGCAGTTTTGGAGCTTTTAGAATTTCCTTTTGAATCATTCGGTGAGCTAAACGAAAAAACTCATCCTCATTACCTTTTCTCAGCTTTTACAATCCAGCCTGAAGCTCAGAGCCAGGGAAGCCAGTTCTCCTGACTCAGCCTGAAGTTGTTCTCTGTCCCCTGACCAGGCTCCTTCTCTCACAAGTTCCTGTCGTTGCTGATGTTGCTTCGACGGCTTTGGGACTCTGCAGTGAGCCACTTCCTTTCTCTGCCCTTCAAAAAGATCCTCCTGGCTGCCTTGATCTTCTGTTTCCTGGTGGTGAGGTTTGACCCAGGTGAGTGACGGGGGAGTCTGGGGAAATCCCCTCTGCCCTGTTACCAGGCATCTTGCTTTATCTAGGTTCTGAATAGAACCTCAGAATTAAAAAACAAACAAACCATGTTCCTCATTCTAGGAGGAACAGTATATCTAAAAAATGTGTCAGTCCATCAGTTAACACATTCACAGCTGTAATTCATGTGTCTTGCTTCTGGACGGCTCTAAACCACTGGTGACACATGCATGACTGTCATTAGAAGACGTGGGACAGTTCCATCGGGCAGTACAAGGCCCCTGACGGGACAGTCATACATTTTCCACCAGTGGTCCAAGCCTGCAGGAATGTATTAATGTCTAAATGAAATTGTAAATGAAATACTCATACAGCACATTTTAGAAAATGGAAAATAGAGAAAAGTATAAAAGAAATCAGATCTCCTATGTAAGCCTGATAATGGTTCTACTTTTCGTTTTTGTCCATGGTAGTCTTTCTCTATAGAGTAGGCTATTTTTTGTGTCATAAATGTTCTTTCAAGCATGACTTTAAATGGCTAAATATTATTCCAATTTACAAAAAAGACTTTTTTTTGGTACTGGGCATCAAACTCAGGATCTTGTGCTTGTTAGATAGGCGCAGTACCGCTGAGCCTAATCTCCAGCCCTAAAAAAGACTATTTTTTTAAAGACTATTAAGATATAAATTTAGAAAAAGATTTTTTTGAGACAGAGTCCATTATATGTTCAGGCTGGCCTAGAACTTGTGATCCTCTTGCCTCAGCCTTCCAAGTGCTTGGGAGGCCACTAGGTATTGAACAGTTTGATGATGATTTCATCACTTGCTTTGGCAGCACATATACTAAAATTGAAATGATGGTGATTTCATTTTCTGCCTTGCTGTGAGGTACAAATAAATGATACATGGGAATAGCCATGGTTTATTTCTTTGTTTCATTTTTTGGTACCTGAGATAGAACTCGGGACCTTGTGCTTGCAAGGCAGGTGCGTTTCCACAAAGCTAAATCCCCAGCCTAATCTCTACTCTTCTCATCAGTTTACACTTAGAGTTTGACTTAGTTACTTTCTCATCACTGGAACAAAATACCCAACACTCAAAATAAAGGAGGAGCGGTTTATTTTGGTTCAGTGTTTTTAGATGATTTAGTCCATAGTCAGCTGGATCCAAAGCAGGAAGGGCTTGGTGGAAGGGACTGGTGGAGGAAAACTGCTCACCTCATGGCCGTCAGGAAGCAGAGTAGGAAGAGAGGATCATGGGAGGGAGATGTAACCTGGTCTTACTTTCTCTGGAATGTGTTTTCTTGAATTACAGTGATCTTAAATTCACTGAGAATTTAATCCAGATTATATTTTCACTTTTTTTATATACTTGAAACTGGTAACAGTGCCTGCCTCTAGGGAGAATTCTGGGAGACTTTCACTGCATTTTTTATCTTTCTATAACTTTGAAATTCGAGGGATTTAACACTGTTATCTATTTTTGCCTTAAGTTAACTTTGTGACTTTCTAGTGTGACCCTCATCTTCTGACTAGATCTCATCTCCTAATGTACTTTCAACTCTGAACTCCTCAGTGGATTAATTCACTGATGAGTATAGTGCCCCCATGATTCAGTCACTTTCCAAAAGCCCAGCCTGTAAAAATAGGAGCCTTTTGGGGATCATTCTAGGTCTAAAATGTAATAGAGTAATATAACTTTTAAAACTGAAGGGAGCCGGGCGTGGTGGCGCACGCCTGTAATCCCAGTACTTGGGAGGCTGACACAGGAGGATTTCTGTGAGTTCGAGACCAGCCTGGACTACATAGTGAGTTCCAGGTCAGTCTCAACTACATAGTGAGACTCTGTCTCAAAAAAACCAAAAACAAACAAAACAAAACAGAAACTGAAGGGAAAATCAGGAAACCTTATTCTAATCGCTTCGTTTTTGGTCCAGAAACCTATGAACTGAAGAGGTAAAGTGACTAGCCCAGGGTCATACAGTTTGATTTTAAAACTTTACTTTTTTAGTTTAAGGCCAGCCTGAACTATGTAGTGAGACCCTGCCTCAAAAAAACCAAAACCTGGCCAGGCGGGGATTTAGCTCAGTGGTTCTACTGCCTGCCTCGCAAGCACAAGGACCCGAGTTCAATCCCTGGTACAAAAAAAAACAAAAAACAACCAAAAAAACCCCAAACTAAAAATTGCACTTCCTGACTTAAATATTTAGATCTTTCCTTTTGCCTTTCTTATATTTAGCTAGCTTTTCTTTTTCTTTTTAAACTGGAGATTGAATGTAGTGCCTTTACTCTGAGCTACATCCCTAGTCTTTTTTTTTTTTTTTGGTACTGAGAATCAAACTCAGGACCTTGAGCTTGTGAGGCAGGCAGCAGAACCACTAAGCTAAATCCCAGGCCCCCTAGTCTCTTTTAAATTGTTTGAGAAAGACTTGCTAAGTCATCCTGGCTGGATTCTATCTTGCAGTCCTCTTGACTTGACCTCCCAGAGTGCTAGTATTACAGGCATGTGCTGCCATGGCTGGCTCCAATTTTCTTTTTAATAAAGATACATTCCCTGTTTTTTTAAAAAAAATTGGTAATTCAGAAAAAGAAAACCTATAGATGTTGCTTTATCTTATTTTCGAAATAATTAACTTATAGCCAGTTATGGTGGTGCATGCCTATAATCTCAGTGCTTTGGGAGGCTAAAGCAGGAGGATCTCAAGTTTGAATCCAGCCTGGCAACTTAGCAAGACCCTGTCTCAACGTTAAAGTATGGGGCTTGGGTTTAGATCAGTGAGAAGATTTTGGGTTCAATCATCAGTACCAAACACACACAAAATTAACTTATGGCAAAAATAGATAACAGTGTCAAATCCCTCCAAATTTCAAAGTTATAGAAAGATAAAAAAATGCATTGAGAGTCCCCCAGAATTCTCCCTAGAGGCAGGCACTGTTACCAGTTTCATGTATATCAAAAAAGCAAAAATATAATCTGGATTAAATTCTCAGTGAATTTAAGATCATTGTAGGGCCGGGGATTTAGTTCAGTGGTTCTGCTGCCTGCCTTGCAAGCACAAGGACCCGAGTTTGATCCCCAGTACCAAAAAAAAAAAGATCACTAATTCAAGAAAACACATTCCAGAGAGAGAAAAAATTCATATTATTGAGGAGGATGCAAATAACACAAAACAACAATTTGTTCATTAAAACTGCTGCACAGCTGGGCATAGTGGCGCACGCCTGTAATCCCAACACTCGGGAGACTGAGGCAGGAGAATCGTTCTGAGTTTGAGACCAGCCTGGGCTACATAGTGAGTTCCAGGTCAGTCTCAACTACACAGTGAGACCCTGTCTCAAAATAACAAAAAACAAAACAAAACAAAAAAAAGGAACCAATCAACCAACCAAACAAACAAAAAAACCCCAAAAAACGCTGCGTGTAATTCCCAGGCATTAGAGTTTCTGAGGGCTGAGCCGTGGAGCTGAGAGAAGAGAACAGTGAGAACTGTGTGTAGTGGTGCAGCCTTGTAATCCCAGCTACTTGTGAGGCAGAGGCAGGAGGGTTGGAAGTTCAAACCCAGCCTGAGTGACTTAAATAATACCCTGTCTTGAAATAAAAAGGGCTGGAGATGGAACTCAGCATTCCCTGGGTTCAACCCCCAGTACTGAAAAAAGAGGGAAGGAAAGAACACTCACAGCAGTCTTCCCCTTTCTCTGCAGCTTCTCCTCCTTCCCTGCCCTTCCTCTACCAGCTGGCTCAGCTCTTACACTGGATCCGGAAGGCCGTGTTTGCTCATCTCTCCCAGCTCCGGCTGCGTGACTGAGTGGTCTTCCCCATGTTTCTTGGCCTCTCTCTCATTCCACATCTGCACCACAGGAGCAGAGTAGCAGGCCTGGCCTCTGTTGCCAGCTGGGCTGCTCTGGGACTAAGGCCACTGTGTCCTGGGAATAGCCCACTCAGGCAAGTGAACTGTGTGTCCCTGTGGCTGTGCCCTGCTGCTGTCCCCCACCGTGGCTGACTCAGTGGGGCTGAAGGGCACAACTATCCAGAGCAGTACTTCCTACATCCAGAGACCCCTCAGAAACAGGGAACAGGGAAATGGGAACTGGGAAATGTTTCTGAAACATTCCATGTTCTTGCCAAAGCAAGAGATGACTTTTTAGGCTAAGGTGTTAGCAGAGCTGGAAGTTCAGGAAAATCCTAGTTTGGGATGCCCTTGACCTTTCACTGTCTTGGGAAACTTATGTCTGACAGTTGTTCCACAAGATAGTACCTTAACTAGAGAGAGACTGGGGACAACTGCTTTCTTCTCTCCTGTGCGCCTCTCAGAGATCTGGTGTAGTTACTGTGTCAGCCCACTGTCCCATGGTCCTACTGTAGAAGTGAGCCCTCCCGCTGCTCGAACTCTCACTGTTCAGATGGGAAAGGCTTTTGGAACCACTCAGGTGACTACTGTAAGTAGAGTGGGCCTCTCAGCCCTTATCAGTGGGTAAACTGATCTTACTTGGTGCCACTTGGTCTTCAGCTGTTTTCCAGTGTGTCGGTGGCCAAGGCCTGCTCTATTACACTCA